ATGCCAGGTGAAAAATCCTCATCCTATTATATTCATCGTTTTAAAAGGATAGATAATAGAAGCAATTGCATTTACAGGCTTATTTTTATTAATAATTATTTTTTACAAACTTCTTTCTGGTACCGGGGTAGCTCATCCTGCATCGTGTCACATTGCAAGTTTTGCATGCAACCACAGGCCAGTCCCAAGTCCAGTCCCAACCCCACCCTCACCAGCGGGCAGTGCACCATTCCAGGCCAGCCACAGTGGCAACAGCAGAGAAGGGGAACATCCCGACACAGCCATCTGCGGAGAGACACAGTGCAGCCCATTCAGGTCTTGTCCTTCCACCCACCCACCCCCATACCCATCCGTGCTAGTGGTGCCCGTCATCCTCCCTGACTGACCCCAGCCGGCCAGCCCCCTTGTGGACCTCTGTCAACCTCCAAATCAGAGAGGTAACATGGCTATTAGCTAGAATACAGTAACATGGCATCACAAAACTCTAGAAGCTTCTGGCTGACAAATACTCGTACATGCCAGCATATAAGAGCCCTCTGAAAATGAAAATAACAAATCAAATACTGGAGGTTGTCTTGTACACCCAACATATGACAAACACAGGAAAAACAGTCCAAGATAACAACCTCATCTTATATGCAAGTCACTGTATACATTGGTATATACGATATGTGTCTGCAGAACAAACAGAGTAACTCCACATTTAACAATGATTATTAAACCCATGTATATTTGAATTATTTTGTCATATCAGGCAAGTGCATGGAAGAGACACCTGTCACTTGCTATTAACCATGATAATGAAATGGTGCCTCAATATACAGAAGCAGTATAGAGCCAAATACAAGATGCTGAAGGCAGGCAAACTTAACATCCTGCTTGTGAGAACTGGGAGGTTATTGGAAACAGTAATACAATGAATGGGCTTTGGCATTATCCAGCAAGACAAGTCTTACGTTTGTGCATCACTCACCAGAGCTTGGCTCGATTTTCCATGAAGGTGGTAGGAGAACAGATAGTGAATGAAGCTGGGTTGGATGGGACTGGGGAGACACACCACCAGCAAATGGCACAGTGCAGAAAATCTATCCACCCAGATTCTACAGTCGACATAGATGCCACCCTCCAAGTGCTGCATTCAAGGAAGCTTAGTGGGGGGCAATGAGAGGGCATTCTCAGTGAAGGTGGCCCTTGCTGATGGAATTACCCCTCCACTGAGGCCCACCTGGCAGCAACCTCCACCTTTTTTGCACATGATTAAGGCTGCCTCTTCTCCAAGGCATTCGGTGGCATTTAATGGAAAATTGGGACATTTATGTCAGCTGCTTTAAACAAGTCTGATTTGTACTAAAATGTTTTAGCTGTTATACTGGTTTTTAAATTTTGCATAGTGGGAAACAATTGTGCTATTTTTATGCTATCTCTAGTTTGTGTTTTTATTAATTGCTGTAAACCTCACAGAGGGCTTTGGCTATTATGGAAAGGAAATATGTACATCCAGTAAATTTCACTAGCTCCACTTTCTAACAGTTTAGAGTTCTGTCTACCCTAGCTTTGACTTCTCAAGATTATTTTCTTCTTAGAGCCCTGAAGAGGCACCATTCTTCGGAGGTGTTCAGAGTCCTTTTACAGCTGCAGGGATCTTCTCAACCACAGGGCTATAGATTTGGCCAACTGTGGAGGCTGGAATACCACCCTTCCTCCTACATTTGGATGAATGTCTTTCTTTCAGAAGGGCTGGCTCCTAGCTAGCATCTGGGCAACCATGAGGTTCACCTCTCTGCCTGAAAAGAGCCCTGGAGTTCGCAAGTGAAGATTGGTTTCTGCCCTTCTAATCATTGAGCCCTCTCTACCCAGAAGCCTATTTGTGCATTGCACAAAGAGTTTTTAGCAGGTTAGGATGACAACGTGCTAGCAGTGCAGACGTCAGGTATTAACTGCCATTTTCTATGCATGGCCAATGCAGGTTTCATCAGTGTACAATCCCATGATGCCTGAGCAGCACTGAAATGTCTGAGGATCCTGGGAGTGTCTCCTGATGCTGCCACATTAGCTTTCATTTCTACAGCTATTATGCTATAGACTTTGCTTTCGGGAGTGCCTAGGATGGCAATCACATTAAGCCAGCATTGGCAAAGGTGTAGTAGCTGTTCGGAACAGTAAGACCACAGGATTAGCCTAGGAGTTGGAAGGGTTTACTCTAAATGGCAGCTAGGAATATTTTTAATAAATAAATAAACATATCTGGTGCAATTGGAAATAAGAGCATATGGAAACTTCAGTGATGACATGGCATAGTCATTCTACAAGCTTCTTAAAGCTTTTCCCTACTCCCCACCCTTGTCATTTCCAGATTCTTGAAATCTTACTTACAGTGCATGGAAAGCTACAGCAATAGCGTGAAACAGTATTTCCAGGTGCAGAAAGCAAATGATTCGCCTGCCAAATCTCACTGCGTTGTTGTTTTTTCCCCTTCTGTTCACTCCCTTGTCATCAGCATGCATATTAAGACCCTGCCACAGCTTTCCTTTTACACCCCCCAGGAGAATAAGCGGAGGGAAAAAAATAGCTTTCTTCACTAAAGCCAGGATTTGAACTCCAAAGTCCAAGCTCTCAAATGGCCAAATGCTAGCTACTGAAGCATCACCTCTTTCAAAATAATTCATCTCTCACAGGGGAACAGAAGATGGGAACTTTTAATCTCTGATTATTAACCAGAACTGGGGATAGCTGCTAGACATAAAGGCTGTATGTGGAGTTGGAAAGGATAACGGAGGAACTGCCACTTCCTTCCAAAATGGTTTGCATAATGTATTCCATTCAGCATTCCTGTATTTAATACTAAGAAAGGGATCCAGGTCTGCACATTTAAAACAGACCTTAGTTTAATACTGCAACACTGGCAAGCAAACTTACATGCCTGGCAGGACTGGAAACCAGCTCCTGTGAGTAAAGCCACACCCGCTGGCAGCCTGAGTGATGCCCCTAGCCATGCCACATCCCTTTATCTCCCTGGGGAAGGCACTGTGCATCCCTTTTCCTGGGGTAGAGGGAGTGCTGCCCCACAGCAGGGGGAGGTGTTTAACTCTATCCACCAGCCTACTCACTTTCCCTGACTTCAAAGTATTTGTATTATCAAGCTATTCGCTGTTTTAGGAAGTCTACCCCAGAGGCTATATATGTTACTGAAGCCTTCAAACATATTGGCATGTTCACATTAATTAAAAATAATTAATGCATTTAAAAAGTCAAATAGTCCCCAGGAGTACTTGCCAAGTTTCAGAGATCCCATTTCATGGCTTGGCATTATGGTACTGATAGACAATCATACATCCTTTTTAATTATTATAGATTAATTACATTCTGACTCATCCCAAAAATGGTAACAAGTGAAGGAGGGACTTTATTATTTGGGGGCAAATTTGCTCTAACTACTAAGTAAACCTACCCAATTTGGCTACTTCTGGCTTTAAAAAAAATCTAGTACCCCACTTACTTTTTCTCTTTACTTTTGTTCCCCACCTTACAAGGAACCTGCGTTGTTGTTCCCTCAGAGCTGTTTGAGATAGAATGGCAGAACTGTTGGATTGTAGATGATCAAGAATAGGAAATCAGCTATTATGTACGTTTCTTTGCCCAGGAATCCCTAGGGGTGCCTTGAAAGCTGAAGATGATCTAGGAGAGCCTAATCCAACTGAGATGCCACTCCTAAGCTGAAACACAGTGGGACTTATTTCAGAGTAGACCTTTTTGGATTGCCCAGCAAGTTTGCCATGTCCTCCTAAATGCCACCTTAAGCCTGTGACCACAGCAGGCTGGTGATGGCTCCAACACCAAGCCAGCTTTCCCACCTTCATCTCCACCCTCTGGCATAACATCTTGAAAATCAGTGCAGTACGCAGCACAGCACATTGGACTGGGGCACAGGAGCTCTTCACTGTGTCTGATCAGACCTAAACGGTACCTACATAACACTTTACCAGGTTCAATCCGCTTTTACCAGTCATCTTGACAACAACCCTGTAAAATAGGCCAGTATTCTTATGTCAATGCTGCAGATGGAAAAAATTGACACTGGGAGATATTTATTCATCATAAGCCATCTAATAGTTCATGGAAGAGGTAGGATTTGAACTCGGAACTTCTCAGTACAGAGCTTACATCCTTAACCACTATGCTACATCAGTCAGTTTCTTGTTCCTAAACAACAGTCTGTGATCTGCTTCGTCTCTAGCCCTTGATTAGGATGGTCAGATTGAACTCAGAGATCTTCCCTTGTCTTAACAATATGTAATAAACAATAAATATCCATAAACATAGTACTTACAAAAATTGCTTGCCCATCCATCTGACTCTGGTAGGAATAAAAAAGAGCATTAGAAAGCAGCATTATTAAATACTATTTATTTACTAAACATATAGTAAACATATACATGGGTGGTAGGTTTTCCATTGGAGTCCTGTAGGGGACTGGACCCTTATTGTTCTTATTGTTTCTTTCCAACTCTACTATTCTATGATTCACTGAAGATATATATAAGCTGTTTTTAGGGCCAAGCATTCACAGCATGATGGACAAAAAATGAATGCAGTACTTGAACATTAGACAGATCATGCAAATGTAAAGTAAAAATAGCAATAGGTAAATCAGGAAACGACTTTCAAACACAACCACCAGATCTTTTTTGGGAAAGCAACAGGAACATGACAATGCTCTCTTAGAGGCCAGTACTGAAGAGGCCAAGACACTGGGTGTGTTCACACATAATGCTAAGCCACACTGCATGGTTACTGTGGGGTTGGTTTCTTACCTTGGGGTCTGGTTTCAGACAGTCACGTAGTTTCCATGGAGGTGTGGTTTCCACGTTTCTCCATTTCCTCTACTAATGGTGGCCAGTATCCCATCAGCACCCACAGCTGAGAATCAATCCCAGGGTGCAGTGCTCCTGCCTGTGTCACCTGCCTCCCTTTCCTTGACACCCTCCCTTGGGCAAGGCCTCCATCAGCTGCTCCTGTCTGTTGTTTGTTTGCTTGTTTATTCAGGCTCCTTAGAAGAACCGACCACCCATTTACTAGAGCAGGACTGTTGCTCCAGCACTAGGGCAGCACTTCCCTGTGCCGCTGCACTCCACTCCAATGTACAGGCGTGCCCACCTACACCTACACCCCACTCCTCCCTTGCTCAGACATGTCCGTGCTCCCCTGTGCAGAGGCCTCGCACATGCTGGAAGGGGCTGTAGCCAGGCACTCAGAGAACATCAGTGGGGTATCCATGCCAGGAACAGAGGCAGCGCATCCAGCCGGCAAGACTTTTCTGAGGAAGGGCGAGTGTACATCTGCCTAGGAAAGTTTTCTGCTGGCAGCTGGGAATGTGTCTGCCCTGCAACTGAGATGGAGTGAGGTGAGCAGCGTTTGCTGACAGTCTGAAGGAATGCCAGTGATGAGCCCGGAGCAAAGGCGAGGTGGGAAGCAGAGAGAGAGACATGGGCTCCTTGGGATGCTTGCCCTGGTGGTGCCATCCCATGCACAGCTCTCATGCTCTTCCGGTGTAGTGCAGCCTCCCTGAGAGGAGACCAGTGCAAAGGCAGCGAATCCACCACCATTCCAGCGCACTACAGTGGCTGAACAGGAGTACCAGTCACATCCCTACTGGAGGTGGAGTGGCACAATGTTGCACTGCCACAAGACTTCAATGTTGCAATGCACTGCAGGTGGGCGTCTGCAGGCAGTGTGCTGGATGACAAGAGTGGAGGAGCCAATCAGAGCACTGCTACCTCCAAGTCGGCAGTTGCTAGGCAGGCCTGGGCAACGATGGCTGCAAGCAGGAGCATCTCCTGCAATCACAGCTGCTGTTGCCACAGGACTCTATGGCAGCACAATGGAAACCATGCATAAGCATGGTTTCTGGGTTCAGATGCGAAAATAAGCCATGGTGAAATGTGGAAGTCATAAAACAGACTGTTGTTTCTCTCTGTGGTTACACTGAAACTAAATGTACCACCCTTCACTATGGGACTTTGCTGGAAAAGCCCCAGCATTTTCTATTTCACTGGAACAGAACTGAAATGCTGCTTGGCATATTCACATTGCAATACTCAACTACTGACCCAGATGCTTCTATATAGATGAACTTTCATGTGCAAGTTCAAGGACTGTTGCCAGGTGCCCTCCACATGTTTTGGACTACAAGTCCCATAATCCCAGAACACTGGCCATGTTGGCAGGAGCTTATGCAGCTTATGTAAACCACAACTTCTGCAGGGCACCAGGTTGCATACCCAGTTTTTCCTATTCAACAACTATGATTTGCTATTCCCAGAGATGGGCTGGAATGATACAGTAAAAACTATATGCAAGCTGAAGAGCAAAGAAAGATGAATACTGAGAAGGGGACTGTGGGGGAGAAACTGACTGGGACTTGGGAGTGGTGGAAAAGATGGCAGATGCAAGAAGGGGATGCATTCAGTAGCAGAGAGCATAGGTCAAATGATTGCAATCATTTTATCCCACAATGGGCCTATTCTCAGTACTGAAAACACCCCAAAGGTGGAGAGAGGGCAAATTAATACTGGGATTTTCTGGGCTGCGCCCGACAAGCTGTTCACTATATTAGGAAAGTATTAAGCAGCCAGTGATGAGACTTGGCCTAAGTACAAGGAAGCAACAACAGGAATCCGAGCAGTATGCCCTGACTTCAGGACTAGACCCCCATCTGCTATGTCTAACAGTTGTTTGCTATGTAGAAATCAGCATATAACAACACTTTGCTCCATTCCGTGATGGTTCCACCTGCTAATTTCTGCACAGCAAGCACCTGTTAAAAGGAACAGCAGCTGACAGACTTAAGGTCTGAAGAAGAGGAGGCAAAAGGCAACAGGGAAGCAATCACCTACCCTCCAGAAAGGGAATTAAGTGGGCAACAAACAAACAAAATAAAGAAATTGTGATCTTCTTCCTTGGTCTATTTGCATACTCACTCCTGCTCATAGGACACACACACCTGAAAGAGCTTCTCTCCTTAAAGAATTAAGAACTCATAAACCAGAGGTATTCACTAGCAAACAGGAACATCGGAAGTCTGCTATTTTTAAATTCCACCCACAGTGCTTACAGAGCAAGCAGCATTATAGTTTAAAGCTCTCTTTTGTTCACCCACTTACAGTGTTATTTCTGGTGCAAAAAAAGGGGTGGGGGACATGCACATACTCTAGTGCGATTGTTACACATGGAAGGGCCTTGACTGATACCACATGGACAGTTCAATGTGAATGACCAGTTTAGTTGACCACATACTCATACAATCTTTCACATGCATGCAGTTTTCACCATGATTAAAACAATATGTTTAAAGTCAGCATATAAAAGGATGCTAGATGTGTTTTTAATTTAGCAAGCTTCCCAGATATCAATTTTTGAACCCAACATTTTAAAAGGAAAATAAATATGGAGGTCAAAAGCACAGTAATACATTGATTTTCTTTAAAAAATAACCAAACAATTGTGATTTCAAGGTCTCCCTTTGTTCTGGAAAACTGCTGTGAGTTTAACAGCTACACAGCACAGAAAAATGCAACAAGTTAGACTTCCCCATATAGGCATGTAGAGGTAGAAAATATCACACATGCTGAACTTATGCAGGCACCTAAAGTCAAAGGAGTGCTTTTTGGGTGTGGGGCAAGATGGCAACTCTACCTTGAAAGAGAAAGCAGTGACAAATAGACAGAAATTCTGTAAGCAAACAAGCAAAGCTTCATTTCACCATGGTATTCTATGGGCACAGAATAGTGTCCCTCTAATCCTTGGCATAATTAAGACAAAAGGACTAATTTTTCTTTGCATTCAACATTAGAGTGGAAAACCAGTTCAGTTTAGCCTAGAAATGCCAGTAAGACTGTGAGGTGCATGTGGGTGATTCTAAGGATTTTGAGTCTATGTATACACCAGCACTACATCAAAGCAGAGCCTATTTGTTGATAAAATGCAATTGGTCAGTTGACTGGTGTACATTAATGCCAAACTATGTACATTTACATAATGTCAAATACTCACCATACTGAGCATATCCAGACTCAGGGGCACATCATGTGACTGCTGTCTAATTGGTTTATCAGCCTTGACCTCAGCATAATATACCTTGAGAAGATGCAACTTAAGTTAGGCCAGGGAATAAACATTCCAACACATTAACATAATACAAGTCAGTGAAAGCAACCAGGAAGTTTAACTCACAACTCTATTGAAGTACATGTACTACAGAGATACAAAGCATGCAACACATACAAGTATATTTCAGATGCCATCCTGCAGACTTGTCTGAGAATAGATATTAATGAACTCAGTGAGACTTACTTTTGGCATGTATAGGATTGTGCTAAATAGGCCATCAAGTATAGTGAGCTTCAAAAAGCAACAGGATCCTACAACTCTGACAGTTGTATAGAAGCCGATTCTAAAGCAAATGCACTTCTCTTGCAGGGATAAGAAAAACTGCTCCCACCAAAATTCCCTCTTTCACATAACTGTTAAAGATACAGGATCCCTCCTTTGCACATGGCTACCCTACATTAAGGAACTGAAGTAACAGTGACTGGTCAGAGGGCTGGACTCAGGAGATCTGGGTTCTAGTCCCCACTCTGCTTTGAAGTTCCTTGGGTAACTTTAAGCCAATCACTGATGCTTAGCCTAACTTACTTTGCAGGGTTGTTGTGAGGATTAAATGGTGAAGAAAAGGGGAGTTACATAAGCTGCCTTGAGTTCCTTGCAGAAAAAGGTGGGATATAAATATGATAAATACACAAAATTTGTAGGATTTTCATAGCTTTGGAACATACCATCAATATTCCATCAAAATATAGGAGGTGGAGGAAAAGTGAAAAACAAAGCTAAAAATACTGAATTATCTTTACCCTGCCAGCAAGATTTACAACACCTAAAACAACTGATAAATTCTGTCACATCACTTAGAAGCGTCTCCAAAATGATAGCAAACATGCTGCCTGAGTCTGTCAGAACAGCTAGTGAGCTAAAAGGCAAAGGTGAAAAGGAAGTCAAAACTTTTGTACTTCACATGCAGAATTACAGTTCCTACACCCTTTACTAGACTACTGGGCCGCCAGACCTTGACAGATGTGGCCTCCGCTCCGCTGCTGCTAAATGTCTAAAGGAAAGCGGCCTGCCCTACATTCCATCGGCCTGAAATTCAACACTGCTCAAGCACACAACAGAATGGTTTGGCCAGATGGACCACCAAAGATTTCAAATGTGCACTTTAAAAAGCAGTAGAGAAATCCAGGCCAGTGGTGCTTTTTTCTTAGTTCTATGGGTTTGGAAGTGACAGAATCTCCATGCAGAACTAAAGGTGGCACCCCTATATGAATCAGACAGAGACATATGCACAGATGTGTGAGTTTCCTTCCTATATAATGCTTGTCTTCATTTTTAATTTATTTGATGCATCTTTGATTGTGAACCTGTTTTAGGAAGAAAAAGAGTGATGGTGAAAGTAAGGTTTATTATTATAAGTTCTATTATTTTTAACTGAATGTATATTGAGGTAGCACTCCATTAGGACAACAACATTCCACAGAAAACAGGAATCCTGTTCCTTTAATGTTGTTGTTGTTAGTTGCAAAGTCATGTCCAACCCATCACGACCCCATGGACAACATTCCTCCAGGCCTTCCTGTCCTCCACCATCCCCCGGAGTCCACCTAACCTCACGCTGACTGCTTCAGTGACTCCATCTAGCCACCTCATTCTCTGCAATCCCCTTCTTTTGCCATCTATTGTTCCCAGCATTAGGCACTTCTCCAGGGAATCCTTCCTTCTCATTAGGTGGCCAAAGTATTTGAGTTTCATCTTCAGCATCTGGCCTTCTAAAGGGCAGTCTGGGTTGATCTCCTCTAGGACTGACTGGTTTGATCGCCTTGCGGTCCAAGGGACTCGCAGGAGTCTTCTCCAGCACCACAATTCAAAGGCCTCAATTCTTCGGCGCTCAGCCTTCCTTATGGTCCAACTTTCACAGCCATACATTGCAACTGGGAAAACCATAGCCTTGACTATACGCACTTTTGTTGGCAGGGTGATGTCTCTGCTTTTTAGTATGCTGTA